CCCCAAAACCCCAAAACCCCAAAACCCCAAAACCCCATAGATTAAGAAATGCATTTAAACATGATAAAAAATCGAATTAGAGAAGCTTTCACAAAAATACGGGAATTTGATTAATTATTTTGATGATCTCAATAGAGACCTTAATCAAAAAAAATTAGAGGACTCTAAGTAATATTAATATAAAGTTATATTATGAACAGCTAGGTTTATTCGATGGCTCCCGGATAGCCCAAATATGGATTTCAAATATACTAACCGCATTCGGCCCAGTTGACGAACCATCCGGTTCAAATAGTCACAAATTTCTATGGATAACCCACAGTAATGTATCCACAGAACCACATCTTACCTCACTAAGGAATTATAATACAACAAACCCCTCTTTACAATTAGGGGTACACCTCGAACTAGCCGTAAATATTGAGTGTTGCTGGAAATTAAAATATGCCGTAGAATCATAAAAACTCGGCTGTGTTTTCAATGCACTCCTCAGATTCCTTCTCATTAAAATATAACAACAATAAGCACAGCTGTTCAGATGGTTAATACGGTGAAAAGACTTAAGATGCAGTATAAAATTAAATCTTTGATAATAAGAACCTTTTCTTTAATTATGGAAATATGTCAGCATCTAAAGATAATGAAGGACTAAATCAAAATTTTGGGGAAAACAATTTGATTCAACACCCCTAGCCTCATCAAGTAGTTTAGAATGACTAGATAGATGAGCTTTCAACAAATTCTAATTAATAAGATAGGCCCTTTAAAAAAATTGAAGACTTGGACTCAAACAATATAGAAGCTATCAAGGAAAAAAATAAAAGAGATTCTCGAGGAATCGTTAAACTTAGAAGGTAATAACAAAACATGATACAAAAGTTGTAAGTAGTAAAGTCTGCACCAGTATTGGCTAAGATAGATGGTTGCTTCTACTATAAAGTCAAGGAAATCAACAAGACCACAAGAAGACTGAACTCCGTTCTCATCTGTGCAGAATGCCAAAAACCTTTCACAAAGAAATGTAATCTTATTGATCATCTCAGGGTTCACTCCGGAATGAAGCCCTTCCAATGCAACATTTGTGCGAAATACTTTAAGCAGAAGGCTCAACTGTCCAAACATTGCAAGAAGCACGGCAATAAGAGAGCTGGTTAGTAGTTGAGAAAAAATTCGGATTAGTCCTAAGATCCCTCAACCTTGATTTCAAATTAAGAGGTATGTAAATGTTTTAATATATATTTTAGGAGACTTAAATTGCTTCGAATAATGATTAAGACATTCAAATTAATGACTAATCTCTTCAAGATGTGAGTCTCCCTTTTGATAGTTTCAGCAAGGTTTTGCTTCCTTGCTTTGAATAGCTAGAAGAAACTCATTTCGTCGTTGATAAAATAAGAAAAGATAGCGACAACATGGAGAAATAGGAGAGTTACTAAATAGCTAAATCTTTCTGCCCTTTCCAGAGAGATTTGAACTTACAAAATCAGGCTTCAAGCACTGACAAACTAAGCTAAATTAAAATGGCAAATACTGATGAACACTCAGAACAACTCTGAGCATGATCACTGATTATGCCATAAACTATAATTTTCCGATTAGGTTACTCTCAAACACTAAATGTTTGCATAGTATTGTCTCTGAAAGATTTAAATGTTACACAAAGCATGGCTGTCCAGAGGTAGCAAGTTGTCTATTATTCATCATCACGTCATGTAGAATAGTTATAGACAAACTTCCACCAAGGATTAGTTACATTTGACTCATTATATCTTACACATTCAAAACGGAAACTCGAGACTAATACAAATATCATTTAGATGAGTGTAGCTTATCGGTTAAGGTTAAATTTGTTACTTAAAGCATCTAACATAAAATACATTTTTTTATTATTTTGGATCTTTATGCAGAATTCGTATCAATATCTGCAATTTGGGGTTTTGGGGTTTTGGGGTTTTGGGGTTTTGGGG